CTATAAAATCTATCCTAGTGTTTCAATAAACTCAGTGGCTGCTTGCAGTGCGTGAATCCTTGATCAGTCTTTTGGCTCTGCATAATCAACTTTCCACAGAACACTGAGACTCTGGCATTGCTTCTCAGTGGCCAGTGCCAGCAGCAACCTGAGTTTCAACCATTTTAAATTTTGGAAGGATTAAGAATTTAAATCTAAATTCAGTGACTTGTTTGTCCTAAAGAGACATTCTAGGTTTCGAATTTATTTTTTTAACAAAATCACTCAACAAGTCTAGCAGTTGTTCCTAAACCAATTGATTTTCTGTTAATTTTGCTTTTCAGCTTTCACATTTAGTGTTCAAACTACCCCTCCTATTTTTTTTAGCCATTTGCCCCAACAGGATCAAACAGGGCATTTTTGTGTAATGAACTCCTTTCTCCATGACCACAGCTTTCACTGTGCACAGCAAAAACGTTGCAAATTGGGCTTTATTTATTTATTGTATTTGTTATATAACACCCATCCCCATGTATCTGGCTGCCTTACAAAAGTTAAAGGCAAGAATAAATAAAATAAGGCTATACCCAATGGCCAGAGAGAAGCAGCTGTTCTGCCAAGAGAAAAGCCAAGAAAAAACAACCCTGAGAAAAAGAGCTGTTGAGAAAATCAAGATGAAATGATCAAAGATGCACCATCCAGAAAGGTCAGCAGAGTTTATTATTGAGGCTTTTGCATGCCGTGCCTGCTTAATGGCTGTATATAAGCATTTTACAGTCAGCCCTGGAGGCTAATGCAGGTGGAGATTGTGTGCAAACCTATCAATAGAACCAAAAAATGGTCTGCAGCTGTCCAAAAGTCACAGCTGTGAAAAAAGAAAGAATGATGACACTCAACTGTGACTGCTTAACAAAGATGAGGACACTTTACATGCATTTTTTACAATCACCATAATAAAATGTAAAAAGTACTGTATTTGTAGAGCAGGAGCCAAGCAAAAGAAAATGAAATTACTTTTAATACTAAAAATAAAAGACAATGTCGCAAATACTGCAGAAAAGTACTTTCTCCATCATATAAAAAAGACATCAAAAATCCAAAGAGTTAAAAAAAAGTTATTAGCACTCCATTTATCTCCAACCCTGTTGAGTCTCTTATAGATTAGTAAAACTGTACTTGAAATATATCTCTCCAAAAAAAACGGGGGGGGGGGGGGGTACTTTATTCTATTTGTTTAACACAGCAGAATCCAGAAAAGATCATTTACCACATGATCTTAAATTCTTGCACAGTACAAATGCCAGCCAGATCCCCCCAGCTTTTTAGTCTATATGACTATATGAAGATACTGAACCCTACCTGGAAGACAAAGGGACAGGATCAGTTTACATCTAAGCCAAGCTTTGTCATTTGAACCACTGGGCAGGCGATGAGATTGTTCTGCTCTTTTGCTGTTTCTTTTTGCTCATGTTCCCTGCTCCACCAGAGGTGCCCGCCCCTATAGTAGCAGAATATATTTTAGGGCACACATGGGCTATGCATCCTTTCTGGCTGCAGCTGTGCCAGTTCAAATCCCTGCAACTGCTGTTCATCTTTGGCTACTCACTGGTGCATCCCTTGAGGTGTTTACCACACTTTCTTTCCTGCCAGCAGAGCTTTTCTACAAGCACCTCCTAAAATATGTCAGTCAAACTGAGTCAAATTCACAGGATTCAGTGGGAAACTTACATGTGTATCTGGTTCCTGAACAAATTCTGACAGTTCAAAGCAGTGTGCGTCCAGGTTAATTTGCAGTAAAAGAAAATGAGAAAGTAATGACATCATAAATAATACCTGTTGCTATAAGAACCTTATATTCTCTTCTTTTTTCCTTTTATCACCAAAATCCTAAACACAATTAAAATTCCTTCTATCATGATACTGTGGTTTGAAGAATCTGTCTCTTAAAACTGCAATAAATAATCAGACATATCTTTATCTTCCACCAAATCCCTTCGTAAGGCCTCAAGCTCCTGGCAAATTTCCAGCTATAAAGATTTTGTGGCCGCTTCCCATCCCTGTATTCCTTTTATAGTTGCTTCCTCCCCATCTCCAGGCTCAGAGGAAAAGAAAGAGAATGCATTCCTTAGAAATGTGACAGCAGAACCAATTCCCCAAAAAAATGATTTGCTTGGTAAAACCTACCTTATTCTGTGTCTTCAGACAGAAAGCCCTTCAGGGCGCAGTCTGTCTCTTTTCTGTGCTTAGGAGACACAAAAGGCCCAACCCTCCCTGGGGACCTATGTGCTGTCTGGATTCTCAGAGATGCTTTATCTCCCACCATTATTAGGCTATCCCAACAAGGCTTCATCAGGCTGGGCTTAATTTACTGAGGCTCTTCAACATTTGTCATCAGACATTAAATCCATATACAAATGAAGGTACCCTTCTTTTTTTTCTTTTAAAAAAACCTCCTTGTCCTTAGTCTCTCTGTGTGTCAGTCTAAGCACAATGAATCCATCCCTTACACTCTCTGAATTTGTGCACACAATTTACCACACCCAGGACTCTGTAGTTGCTTGCTAATATAAGCTGGCCCTATAGTCCGAAACCAAACCTCCCAATATACACAGTCAAATATGGATTTTTGAACATGCAGAACTTGCAGATACCATAGTCAGAGTGACAAGTACCTGGAACACAAATCCCTGTGAGCTTTTTGACTCCACGAAATCACCATGCAAATACAAAGAGGGTTTTCTGAATTGCTCATCACACTGGGAGCAAACCAAACACGCGCAGAGACTGAATTACCTCTTGTCCGTGAAGAAAATATTGCTTTTGATCGCAGGGTTGAGGTTTTTGGCAGGGTACCAGGGAGCTCCCAGTGTGGCTGCCTGTATGACACAGAAGTATATATGGCTGGAGGGCAAACATAAGATTCCCACTGTGCCAACATATCAACCTTTGTAAACACAAATATGGAATGAAAAATAAGAAGCAGCATGACCATATCATGCCATAGGTACGTGTCATATTTATTATTCTAGTGCAAATGCTCTGAATAAAAGAGTCTTTGTGGGGGTTCTACTGCCTTTTCCCTCAAAAATTAGACATTTCTAAATCCACAACAGCTGACGGGAATATTTTTTCAAGTTGAAAAAGATCCTATGAGGAGAAATCCAGTTTAAGAATGTCTACTTTTTTCTTAGTGCCTTTTCAGTTTTTATTTTTCTCATTATGGTGTATTTCAAATCACTGTACATTATCAAAGTGAACCCAAAGCATACCCTTATAATGCAGTGTTTATTGATTGGAGTCTGGGAGTTATCCCAGACTCCAATCACCAACTCTGCCATTGAGTGGTTTACAGACAAGGTGCATTCTATAGGAATAAAATTTCACATAAAACATCTGTGACAAAAGACATTGTAATAATTTGAACTGTTTTCACTGTTATAATTTAATTAGAATTTTAATTTGAACAGATATGAGGAAAATAAATATTTTTCTAAAGTTGTTTTTATTGCCTCATTTAAAAATTTTTATAGAAGATATCATAATGCTGAAAAACACTGGGACAACTGTTTTAATCCAGTTTCAATCTTTCAGTTAACCTGCACCTAAATTTTATATGAAATTTCTTCACAATAGCCCTTGGAAGGAATTCATACCTCTTACTGCAAGCTGTGTGAAATGTAATCTTTTTTCTCTGAATTTGCCCAGAGGATGCATGTTTTTCTGAGTATAAAAAAAAGCAAATTTCTATACTTCATCTGAATCAGAACTCTCACATTTTCATGTGCTTAGAGACTCAACTTTTTACTCTTCATTCACAAGGAATCCACAGGCACCACCAGAACGAGTGGGGCCGGAGGAAAGGCAGCTTCAAGATCAAAGCGCATATTTATCAAGAAAACAATGCATAATAGGAAAACAAAACCATTTTAACTATGAAAAGTCATTGTACATTCATACCAAGAAGATTTCACTCATTATCACGTTTGTGAACAAAAGGGAAAGGCAAACATAAAGAGGAAAGGCAGAATGACATTAATGAGGTTGCAAAAATGCAGCTGAGAGATTTTTCCCTCAAGTTTCAAATGTGTGTAATATAATCAGTGATAGATTAACACACTGGAAGTGAAAGGTTTGGAATCTTTTCTGAACTCAGGAGAACACCTGGTCTAAAAGTGGTGCTGTAGCTATTTGGACAGTCTCTCCCAAAATTTTCTGAGTGTATCTATGGCAAAAGTATTTCAATATTAAGCTTTTCTAATAACATTATTGTTTCAGTCTTACTAGAATTTACAGTGCCAAAATGCAGGTGTACCTACAGGGAGAAGTTAATGTTTTCATGTCTGCAAGGCCAGGCTATTTGTGAACAAATTCAGGAACAGAAGGATATTATTAGTATAGCAAGGTGGACAGGATGTAAACTCCTCAGGTCTGGCTGCTCTCATTAATTCCAAGTAAAACTGCATCTGCTTTCTCTGCCCCGTGGTAGAACTAACATTTTTGTCCAGAGAGTGAAAGACTTCAAAGATCTCACCATGAGGAGAATAGTTTTAAGATTAACACATATAGCTTACTTGAATATTCAAGTTGAGTTTTAGAATCATGTTTTTGCTCACTCAGTGTCAGAATTTCACAGATATTTCTCGGGAGTTATTTGATCTGTTGATAATGGTAAAGAGGGGCAAGTAAACATGCAGAGCCCTCCTTTGCTTCTCTGGATATATTCGTATATCCTACGACTTAGACCATCAAAGACCACAGCTCTTCCAAAGGGTCATCTTCCTTCAACTCTAACCACCTTTCTACCACCAGCTGCACCTTCCTGTCTTTTATTGTTACCTGAGACTTACTGGTTCCTTTCGTGATTTGGTCGAAATTACAAAGGAACAAGGAGTTTTGAAATCAGAAAGTTCCTAAACAATTTGTAGATGACTTTGTAGCCCAATTTATATTCCAGTAATCTCACTTGTTGGTCAAGGATTCATTCAAAAGCCACTCTTAATACAAAATTGAATGTTTTGCAGGCTTATAAAAGGCGAATACAGATGTCAGGAAAGACCCCTCTTCTATGAACTGTTCCTGGCAAATAATGTGATCAAATGGCCATCTATAGAATATTCATGAAGGTAAAAGTCTTTTTAAAGGATCTTTTCTTAAGAAATATCCAAAGAAATTGGTGGATACCTTAATATGTTATCTCAGATTGAAGAATATCTTCTGAACAAGATAAAAATCAGCTACTAGGCAGAATTTTCACAAAAGCCTCCACAATGGCACCTTTTAAAAACATCTAGCTTTCAACATAGCTGACTCGTACTAATGCCAACTAAAGTCATAAGCTTTTATCTACAAGGAATCTACACATTAGAATGTAGAAAGATGTTGATTCATGTATACTAAAAGAATGGTCAGTTTCTGCTATTTTTTATGGTGACTAAAAATTACCTCAGAACATTCCAACTCTCAGAGTTAGTTTGGCATCTGGTGGAAGTCATAATTAAATAATTAAAAATAACTGAAAGTTTATGTTAATTTTTTATTAAAAAAAAAAAAGAGACAGGTTGTAGCAGAGATTATCTTGCTGCTTGAAGATTGCTATTTATTCTCAGAGACCTCATCTGTGATGTATGAGTATCCTATTACATTGTACTGTGTTAAAAGTACCAGAATTAAGAGAACAGTTCTGAGACAGTGAGACTGGGACAAGGCATTATCATGACCTAATGCCGTACTGCAGGAACTTAGTATGTTCCTTCTCCAGAACTCTTATCTGTATTATCATGACCTGATGCCCTATTGCAGGAATTAAATATGTTCCTTGTCCAGAACTCTTATCTGAAGCACCTAGAAAATGAATAGAACTAGGAATGATTCTAACAGTGCTTGGGAATCCAGAGCTGCAACCTTCCTCTAGAAAGCAGTTTAGAAAAAAATTTTTTAAAAATAGAAAATTCAAGAGGAAGTTAAAAGATCTCCTGTGTGCCTAGTCAAACAGGGCTTTTTACTGTAATCTACATAATAGCAATGACAAAGAAGAATAATTTGGAGGCTGTAGCAGCTTGGAGTGGAAGGCTTAGACAAAGTTATTAAAAAGCAAAGCCCTGCCGGTGAGTTTTGAGGTACAGAAAGGACTCCCTTGCTTTCTAAACCCCTTCTCACAGAGGAGTCTAGGTGCGGCTAAACTCAGTCTTAGTCTCGGATTATGTTAATGGTTTAAATTTAAGGAATTATAGACGTATGATTGAACAACTTTTGTCCCGCAGGTTTTAATGATTGTCTAAATGAGAATCTCTATATAAAATTAATAATTTATTTTATACAAATGATCAGACAAAAGATCTTAATCAGAACTATTTACTACACAATATAAACACTAAGAATCTACTAGTAGACTATCATATAGCATAAAGTAGTATAGTGCGCTGTAACAAAGCAATTATTGAAGCAGTTAGATTAAAGCTATCAAAAAGAAATCATTATTAAGTAGAGATCTGATGTAACTCATCCATATCAACACTCATGGGGAGATCTCTTTCTCTCAACCTCCAGGAGTAACCTTGGAGGGCGTCCCCAGCCAAGGGAGGAATCTCCACACATGCACTCCAAGAAGAGTTATGTCAGAGGAACCTGCCTGTATGCGAGGGGACTGAACTTTTATAGTATAAAGTGACTGACTGCTAGTCACAGACCTACAAGCCAGCAGATTAGCTTATCTATCAAATCCTGTTTCAATAGCAGGATGTATATTTGAAGTTGGGTGAGCCAGAATGGTCTTGGCACCAAGACAGTACCCTGGTCCAGCAGTTGATAGCTTGCATGGTGTTGGATTTTAGGTCTTATCAGGAGTAGGCTCTCCTGCCACAGTCCACCCCTTGACTACAGTCAATCATTACTTTCATGAAGTGGTGGAGCAGGTACCTCTTGTCTCCACACCATAAAAGCGACTACTATATTTGTGTATATTATTGTTCAGTATATTGAGATACATCAGTCTCTTAAGTTTTACTGTTCTATTTAACTCATGTAGTTTAAAAGTTGTTGGTTATGTTATAATGACACATTATACCATTATATATAAAATTGTTATAAAAATTAGTTAATATGGAATTAACTGTTGATTTTAGGAAGAAAACAGTGTTATTATTTCAATGTATGCATTTTTTGGAATGGCTAGTGTTCTCATGTGTTGGGTTAGGTATTACAGTCATATACATACATGTGTACATAATGAATATCAACAAAATGACAGTATTATAATAACAAGATATAACATTAAAGGCAGAGTGTTATGGCAGTTGGGAGCAGTTCAAACAAATCATTCCACCAGTGATGTTACCAGTTTGAATAGGTCAGGATGTTCTCTACCCCCTGAGTCCCAAAAATAGCAGGAAAGTTGTGATGCAAACCAGGATCGTGGGGGAAGAGATCATAAAACCAGTCATTCAGTTGCAGTGATTTAAAGAGTTCCACAGTTTAGTCAGTGACTTCTTTCACTTTCACTCGTGCTTCTTAATACAGCATTCTTCTTTGGTGCAGTTCAGCATTTCACATATTCCTTGATCAACATATCAAGCATTAGTCAATTTTACATAACATTTTTGATACTTATTGGACTAGTAAACTGAACTCCAAAATGGCATAGTGAGCTTAATTTAAGATTCTCTATTGCCCATTGATATTGCAGTGCAATTGCACTCCTTGTACAACTTTTAGGATAGGCCAATTTTCAGCAGTTAGGCCACCTTACATTTCAGAGTTGGCAATTTTACAGTTCCAGATACTGTTGTAACACAAACAAATACACAACCCAAACAAATACATAACCCAAACAAACATACATGTCCCAGATTACCACCCTTATCCCTCCCACCAACCAGGCTTCAGGGGAATGGTCAGGGTGCATCATGGGAGAGTAACATTCAGTAAAAATTTTACTACATATAATCAGGTTGCTTCAAGAGAATCAAAGGTATAATGAAACTCAAGCAATTCTTACCTACTCAGCATATTATCCCAGTCATGGTCTTAAGTTTGGACTAAATACCTTCTATCTTTACTAAACCTTTCATTGGCTTCCAAACCCAAAATCTTTTTTTTTATTCTTTCTGTCAGTTTAACCACTTATGCCTTCTTTGCCTAGAGCTGAAGAAAACTTTCTAGCTGCCGCATCAGCTTCTCTGTCATTCTTTTTCTCCCTTCTCTCTAAGGGCTACCAAAAGTTTAACATTCCCTTCTTTTGCACAGTCACACTTCATACATTTCTTACTATTACTACATAAATTTCCTTCAGTATAGTCATTTTATACTTTGCTCTGAGGAGGTACAGAGAGGTATACAAATTTGATTTCATAATCATATGAAATTCTGTGTGAACTCCCAAGCTAAATTCAGGGAGAAATCTTTTTTTCTTTAACTTACTGTGGCAAGAGAAGACACAAACGTTCCAAAGCAGTGCTTGGAGAAAACTCACATACATACTGCAAAGCTATTAAGACAAAACATATACAAATATAAACACTGAAAAATTAGCAAGATAAAAACGAATACAAACAACTGATGCAGCAAAGAATAGTGCAAGTTTTCAGTTTTGTTGCTACTTCATCTTCTTATGGAACACCTGTGGAAGGGGAAAACTCAGTCCCACTTGGACCTGTTTTAAAAAGAGGTGACGATGATCTAATAATAAAACTAACAGTAGCAATTTGTGAAAAGAAACTTAGAAGACACTAAAATGCAATAATCATTATTAATAAAACTTATTTCAAATTGTCTAGTACCTTAACAGTATTTCTCAATATTTTTAACTATGTAAACAAACTCAAGTTAGAGCAGTCACCCTTTTGGGACCTTTTCAGTATTAGATAAAATGTTTTTTGTCAGACTCACACATTCTGTTATTTGTGGATCCATGGGGTTTTGGGCATGTTAGAGTGGTTTGTAGGGAAAAGGACATCACTCTCTTTTCCTTTTCGCCTACTTACCCCTTGGGTATTTGAAGCTATTTGCTATTATGATTGCTAGTTGCAAGGTCCTGAGAGGATGGTTGACTAATCCAGGTACAAATAACCATGTTGTAATACAAGAAACCATATTCTGCAAACACAAAAAGATAAACTATTTAATGTTAATTTTTGATTCCATTGCAGTTTTATCTGCAGTGGGCTTACTATAGATTTACTATTTATGGTACTGTTCTTCTGTGTCTGGAGCTGTCTTTATTCACATATAGTGGGTCTAGGAGTTTCTACTTGTGGTTTTTGCAGCAGTGTGGGTAATCACAAGAACTGGAAGCAGTCCTTTCCAGTTCGAGTGGCTCGTCATTTCCTGTCCAGATAAACTTGGACATTCAAGGTTATTAGCAAGGCTAAAACAGCAAAGTTATACAATGGTAGATGACTTCTCCCATTCTGTCTCTGATCACCAGTAGCAAAGGGCAAGGCTCCATATTCACTAGCCCCAGTAGGTGGTACTGCAGGGGCAGTTTGTAAAGCCTTACTGAGAACACATAGGAACTGGATTTCAATTAATTCCCCTTAGAATTCACTCAGGCTTTTACTTTCAGGAGGTCCAAACCCATAACATTCAAAGGGAAAGACTCCAACATCATCATGGCCTTCGTAGGGTGATTATTACCAGGCAATCAACATATTACTCAAGCTAAACACAGCAGCTTAGAGCATCTAGCAACATATATCCATTTTTTGTCAGGTATTATCCCACATCCTTTTGCAGTTTCCTGATTCAGAGGAGATATCTGGAACCCTGTGTTGACTGAAAAGGTGGCTTGTGACTGCAAGGGACCAAGAAGAAAAGTCGCTACTATATCTCTAGCAAGCCTTTTAAGATATTTGCAGTCGTCATCTCCAGCTCGCGTATTGGGAGCAGTGTCAGGAGTTTACTTAGTTGGTTCCAGTCTTTGAACGGGGGAGGTTTGTCTCTCCAGTCCATTCTTCTGATGGCTATTTGGTGTTTCACTTCATTCATAAGAAATACTACCCATTTGTCATGAGTTACCAACTGCTCTGCTCTTTCTCGCTATGCAAGACCAGATCTTACTTGTGTTTCACCCATGCAAGCAGCTCTAGACTGATCTTGCAACTGCATTCCTCTAATTAGGGGGTTCACTCTATCTGGATTAGCAAACAACACAGGAGAGAGCTGAGGGAGTACAAGATGCTTCCAGTGTAAAAACTGGAGGCAAGCTGCCTTCTGCACCCCCTCGGTGAAACCAGTTAACACCAGAGGAGTAGAGAAGGGCTCCCCCTGCTCTCCCTGGTCAGCTTTTACAAGCAGGCAGAGTTCAGAGTGTGGTTTTACATCATGCTCATAGAATCATAGAATCAACTAGGTTGGAAAAGACCTCTAAGATCATCAAGTCCAACCCTTGATCCAACACCACCGTGGTTACTAGACCACGGCACTAAGTGCCACATCCAATCGCATCTTAAAATCCTCCAGGGACGGAGAACCCATCCTCCCTGGGCAGCCCATTCCAAAGGCTGATTACCCTCTCTGTAAAAAATTTCCTCCTAATATCCAACCTAAACCTCCCCTGGCAGAGCTTAAGACCATGCCCTCTGGTCCTACTGCTGATTGCCTGGGAGAAGAGACCAACCCCCACCTGGCTACAACCTCTTTTCAGGGAGTTGTAGAGAGTGATGAGGTCTCCCCTGAACCTCCTTTTCTCCAGACTAAACAACCCCAGCTCCCTCAGCCTCTCCTTATAGGATTTGTGCTCCAGTCCCTTCACCAGCCTCATTGCTCTTCTCTGGACCTGCTCCAGCACCTCAATATCCTTCCTGAACTGGGGGGCCAAGAAGTGGACACAGTACTCCAGGTGTGGCCTCACCAGCGCTGAGTACAGGGGCAGAATCACTTCCCTGGACCTGCTGGCCACACTGTTCCTGATCCAGGCCAGGATGCCATTGGCCTTCTTGGCCACCTGGGCACACTGCTGGCTCATGTTCAGCTTCCTGTCAATCCAAACTCCCAGGTCCCTTTCTGCCTGGCTGCTCTCCAGCCACTCTGTGCCCAGCCTGTAGTGCTGCATGGGGTTGTTGTGGCCAAAGTGCAGGACCCGGCACTTGGCCTTGTTGAACCTCATCCCGTTGGAATCAGATCATCTCTCCAGCTTGTCCGAGTCCCTCTGCAGAGCCCTCCTGCCTTCCAGCAGACCAACACTCCTCCTAAACTTGGTGTCATCTGCAAATTTGCTTATGGTGGACTCAATCCCCTCATCCAGATCATCAGTAAAGATATTAAACAGGACTGGGCCCAACACTGATCCCTGGGGGACACCATTAGTGACCGGCCACCAGCTGGATGCAGCCCCGTTCACCACCACTCTCTGGGCCCGGCCCTCCAGCCAGTTCCTAACCCAGCACAGAGTGCCCCTGCCCAAGCCGTGGGCTGCCAGCTTTTTCAGGAGAATGCTATGGGAGACAGTGTCAAAGGCTTTGCTGAAGTCCAGGTAGACACATCCTCAGCCTTCCCCTCATCCACCAGGCGAGTCACCTGGTCATAAAAGGAGATCAGGTTGGGAGTCTGACTCCCTCTCCAGATTTTGTGAGAGGCTGGAAAACTCCATCTCACACATTGTTTCTCTCCCTGTCCCCCCCGATGAGACAGGCAGTTTGCAAATGTAATTTGCTTTCTCTTTTGAAAAACCTGTTGAACCAGCTTCTCAAGTTTTCAGTCAAAGGTTTAGCCAACTGGACAAAAGACTTAACGAGCTCGTTATCACCTTTCTTTAAGGCTTCAGCCGTAGCCTCTGGCAAGTCAGTTGCAGAAGCTTTTTCCTTACCAGACTTTTTTTCTTTTACCAGGTTTCTGACTTTTTCAATAATATTGTGCCTCGGTAAAAATTCTGTTAAGCTTTTTGTCTCTCAAAATTGCCATCATCCTGTTTCAACTACATCAATTGTTGAGGGTGGGAGTGGAAGGCTTAGACAAAGTCGTTAAAAAGTAAAGCCTTGCCGGTGAATTTCGAGGTGCAGAAAGGACTCCCTTGCTTTCTAAACCCCTTCTCACAGAGGAGTCTAGGTGCGGCTAAACTCAGTCTTAGTCTCGGATTATGTTAATGGTTTAAATTTAAGGAATTATAGACGTATGATTGAACAACTTTTGTCCCGCAGGTTTTAATGATTGTCTAAATGAGAATCTCTATATAAAATTAATAATTTATTTTATACAAATGATCAGACAAAAGATCTTAATCAGAACTATTTACTACACAATATAAACACTAAGAATCTACTAGTAGACTATCATATAGCATAAAGTAGTATAGTGCGCTGTAACAAAGCAATTATTGAAGCAGTTAGATTAAAGCTATCAAAAAGAAATCATTATTAAGTAGAGATCTGATGTAACTCATCCATATCAACGCTCGTGGGGAGATCTCTTTCTCTCAACCTCCAGGAGTAACCTTGGAGGGCGTCCCCAGCCAAGGGAGGAATCTCCACACATGCACGCCAAGAAGGGTTAAGTCAGAGGAACCTGACATCCTTGCAGTTTAAAAGGGAAATCTTTTCCATTATCCATACGCTATCATTGCTTAGTTGAAGGAGGGAGGGATTTCTGACCAGTTTGCAGCATAAGTATGCAAGTACATATTCAGTATCGATAGAGACGTTCTCGGCTACTCATTTGTGATACAAACTCTTCTATGGACACATGTCAGCATGAGTGAGACCTTCAATCTCATTTCTCAAATCACCGAGAGTTGGTATAAGAAGAACAAATGTAAAAGCTAGGGGTGAAAAAGAAGGTAGAGTGATCTAAAGGAAAAGAACAAGATAACAGGACAAGAGAAGGGAGAAGATAACATGAGAAAGCAAAGAGAAAAAAAGAGTATTACAGACCCAGAAAAAGCACATAAAATAAGGGATGTTTTGGAATAGGTGCCTAAGAATCAAATAGAGCCAAAGTCTTAAGCTTCCCTCAAAACCTGGATTCACTGATTCATACGAAAACAAGACTTGTCCCGAATAATTTTTCTCTGACTCAAAGTAAAGCAGTAGTGGGCTAAGGAGTGAAAATGGAGATAAAGTTAATGGAAATAAAGGGAGAAGGAGGCAGTGAACCTGCAAAAGCACGGGGAGTAGTTGGTCTACCAAGGAAAAGAGGACAAGGGGGGACAAGGACATTCAACTAACTTCCCTCAGGGTAGAAGGAGTAGAATGGATGGAGTGACTGCATGAAAAAGCAAACCCGATATATACGGTATAGTGAATCAATAAATGAGGGATAGGATACTACATTGTGGATGAAACATTTGATTTACAGATCTTTTTCATCTGAATGAAAAGACTACTGTTTGTTTTCTTTCTACAGATGCATTTATAATGTATGTCAGAAGAGCTTTGATTGTGCAACACAGAGATTTAAATAAAAACAATGTACAGTGTATCAATCCTTTGTCTTTTTACAGAAAGACAGTTTCAAAACATGGATTCAACATATTTTTTCTGAATTTTTAAAAAATTTTAACAATTATCCGAATTTCTTTTGTACAACATTAATATTCATATCCTCTCAGAAACTGAGGGAAGAAATCAGTCCTGAACAGAACAAATTGCGGCAATATATCATATCAGTGATACGCCATCTTTCCTTTGAAACATACTTGTTCACCCTATCTAATGCTTTATTTTTCTATAGGTATGATGACAGGCATTTGAACATATTTCAAGAAGAACAATGAGTAATAAATATCAAAGGACAGTTCCTATTTTAAGCAAATTGCCGGTTACCAATGAGTTCTGTGAACTATGGATCCTAACAGAGAATGGAATTTCAGAATGAAAAACACAGCAAGAAAATAAATGCTGACCACCACACAGCCTGAGTGTCTGGATGCCAGGGATACTCTGAAACAGATATTTTGAGATCTTCCTTGGTATATCAAACAGAGAAGCTCCAAAAGAGTCTAATTATGTTAAATCATCCTATCCTATGTGGATACAGAGATAGAAGCAAAAAACGACCTTCTGCCACTCTGTTTTGCAGACCTGATGCTGCTTTTTCCTTTGCTGAAAATTTGCATGTTTTCTCAGAGCCTGTTTCTTTCTCACAATAAACAATGCAAAGCCTTCCTGCCAAAAAAATGTCCAAATGCTAAACAGTTGCTATTATAGTCATTATTATAGCAGCAACTTTGAGCTGCATGCTTTTCAATTATAATTATTTTTACAAAAGATTTTTGTGTGTCTTGATTGCAGTAATTATGATTCCATAGTAGTAAATGTCTATTTAAAGAGTCACGTTAGCTTACTGCTCCAAATAAATTAGTTTCCTTAAATGAACTTCATACAAATGAGTGGTTTTCTTTGTATTTATTTTACTTGCTATGCTAACAACAAACTAGGATGTATTAAACAGCTGATAAACCATTGTTTCATCACAAAAATAACTATGGACAAAGATGTCAAATGAAAGCAATGTTTTATGAAATGTTACAGAATAGCCAGCATAAACAACAACAAATTATTCAAGAAATGGGCTTCTTCAACAACTGGTCTGGGAACTAAGAGAGAGAACAGTTCAGTCGGTGGAAAACCCGCAAATGGTGCTATTATCCCGAAACAGGATCTATGTGGGATCACTGTTGTGTTGTCACCGTGACAGGCAGGGATTGGAGGTTATAGTTTAAAGTACCTATGACAATGTGTAGTCTCAGCCAGAGCTTCCACAGGGCACTCTCAGTAGTTCTGTTGATTCACAAGCTACTGAAGTTTAGCAGTTGATCAGAGAAAAGGGGTTTTTTTTAAAAAAAAAAAAAAGAAATCAGGAAGAGGAAACCAAGAGGGACCTGAGCGACAGGGGGTAGCAAATTTCTGGCTCCAATGTTACACTCTTTTGTAACTGGCCACAACACTGTATTAACTTTTCAAATGAACCTGTCTCTCCCTCGGCGCCCATTTAAGTGGTTGCCACTGGCTGTGGGAAAGCCAGTGAAGCCACACTATACAGCCGTTTGCATCTGAAATGCTATCAGCTGCCGAGGCGATCCCATTCGATTTCTTACAATGACACAATCCCATCCTATTCCCCATCCTTCCTAGACAACCTTGCCTATTCTTCGGTGAGAATTGCCCCATTGTACGTACAGACATTCACATCCTTGATAAGACAGTTAGGGGAAAAGTTCACGAGCCACATCCTCTGCTGGTATAACTTCATTTCCCTTCCCCCTTCTCCCAAGAGTGAGTGGCAATCTGACTCCCTGCGTTGAAAGGAAACAAGGTTGTCTATTCAGCTGCAGTCAGACATACAGTGTGTGTTAAGGCCCAGACAGCCCATGATGCTGAGTGGAGATACTAGAGGTTCGTGTTTCTCTGCTGGGAATTTTCACAGAGCAGAAAAGGAATGCCACGTTTTTGTGTGTAACTTCCGACTGCCAACTGACAGAGTTCAAAAGCATAAAATCACGTTTATTCTCACAGCTCAGGGCCTCAAAATGTAGGAATAAAAATGACCAACTGGATTTGTTGGCTGGCTTGAGTGAGCAATGTTAAGACTGTAATGGGACATTAAATAGAAAAGTAGAAAAAGATCACTGAAAATCTAAATCCTGCTGATTAGATTGGCCAGTGTTACTAGTCATTCAGCCTAATCTTAGGCAAAGCACTTTGCTGTTGAAATGTTCTTTGAATGGAATAGTAGCATTTTCTAAAAACATTTATTTATTTTTTTAATAACTGAGCTTGACCAATGATTTGCAACTTATCAAAGATAAACTGAAGTTCAGCATACCCAGTAGAGGAAGCTTCCTCCTAAGAGTGATCATGAGCAAGATGCTTTGATTAATTTCATGGAGTGGTCCTAGAAGGTGTGAACTGGATTCCTTTAGAAGAAACAAAACCAGATCATACAGTCCAAGCACAAAAAGGTGTTTGGGCCACAAAACACGATTAGAAGCAACCCAATGTAACACTGCTGCAGTGCAAATTCTGCAAATGTCATGTATTCAGAACCAGTTAGGGTTCTGCAGATCTTTTCCCGCAGCTTTTCATGTTTGCTAACAGAACATAGCCTATATCTTTTTTGAAGTATATAAATTACAGCACATTATTTCCTCCCAGTGTCTTCAATAGAGCAATATAAGAACTTTCTTGACATTAAATCTTAATAAAAAATAAAGTATATTTTTCATATTTGGCTGGCCAAAATGGAAATATTCATCAAATCCCCCTCTAATAAACATATTTGAAAAGAAACAGAAAACAAACCTCAATTTCTCATACTCCTTTTAGCATGCTCGAAAGAGCAAGAGCCAAGCAAGTATCTCACAAAAAAAAAAGATGCCGTGGTTCTGTGGAATTTAGGTGCCTAAGGCTGTGTCTTAGCTCTGACAAATATTTGCTAACTTGTGTGGTTTCATTTTGATCTCTTAGACACTCAGTTTCTTCACTGATACAAGAGCGTATAACAGTAATAAATAGTTCTAAGCTGAATTGGAGCTTGCAAGGGAATCATATATTTTCTTATTTTGTCCAACTTCATTTAAGTCTGGGGACATAATGACATGCCATTTACTGTGAATAAACATGTTCTTTCATAAGAATTTTATTCCTGTTTCACAACCGTGATATCAACAATACTTCACTAAGCTCCTGCCTAGAGCTCCTGAACTTCCAATATTTAGCCAGTATTAATTTATAGCGCTGATTTATTAATGTGAAACCTGGGTTACTTCAAATGGTAAAAGCTTCTTTCATTTGGGATCCATGCACTCTCATACAGTCTTTATGGTTATCTGGGAAATTAAATGGTTGTACAGTTTGTTACTTCATTTCCACTTCTTGCATTTGCTACAACTGACTTCCCTGGGGTTTTGTTTGACAGCTCTTGTCAGCTGAAAATAACAATAGTTTATGTTTGAACAGCAGTTTCCACACTAATACCTTTACTTATTTTACAAAGGCACTCAGATACTGTGCCGACGTGCAAAGTACATTTACTGACTGACTTTGTCAGCCACAACCAAACAGGGCTTGGGTTTGCCACAACACATGATTTCAACTGGCTGAACCCATGCTGCCTGGGAGGATGAGGTTCAAGCTAGTGCCAGCCCTTGCCCTATATCTGCATTTCCCTGCTTTGCAAGCCATCTGGTGCATTGTCAAAGAAGTGCTGAAACTGGAACCCAAAGCATAGGTTAGGGCGCTGAGCTAGTATGACATCATAGGCTCATCCAGGCCTTAGGTCATTCCTTGCCAATTTTTATGGAGAAAAAAAAACCCCAAAACACCTAACACTCTGAGGAATGTAGAAATTATTTTATCTGTGTAAAAGTGGTGGTTGCACCAATGACTGCTGCTCTGTGTTACTTACAAAACCATCAGTGTTTTTGTATATTTTTAAGGTTGGCAGATCCAAACTAAACTCTACAATGTGTCTAGTAACATTTAAGTTGCTCTTCCTAGAAATTAATACTACTGAAAATACTACAGATAGAAGTACTTAAACAATAACATTTTAAATTTGTCTTTGTCCTAGTATTAAATGTTGCATACTAAATCAGTTAAATCTATTGTATATGTAAAAGGAAATTCCAGTGCATTTTAATTACATGTGTTGCAGGGTGACACTGTACTATGAACTCATTTGACTAATTTTTTTTGCTACCCAGGGATATCTAAAATACATGGGGTTTTATAATATAAGGGATAATACTTTTCCTACAGTATAATTTCCCTATATCACCATCAAAGTTACAATCAATAAAAGAAATCAATGTGAGGAGAGGAAGAAGGGAGGAAAAAAGGCAGAAAAAAATTAATATACTGCCATTAAAGCTCTTAATATTCTATTTTTCTAAGCGCTGTGTAATAATATCTGTTGTTCACTGAGAGCTGATAAAAGTATCACTACTGAAGTTCAGAAGAGCTGTATGACTGATTATTGTCTATTTTCATTTTGCCTCACTGCATAGGTAATCTTCTTACAAGATTATCGTCATTTCTCATAGACTCCTTTATTAATGAGAGTATTAAATGATGAAATACTTTTGGATCACCTCATTTGGGGCCTGACCCCTGTCCCATTAAGGCAAGTGGATCATTACCATTCATAGGAACAGAGGGCAGAGCCTATCTGGGAGGCTTTGCAGAAAGCATGCCATACTCCAAAAAGAAAGATCAAATGAGCAGATCTCTAAAGGCCAAAGGTTAGTTAAAAGGTCATTTCCCATCTACAGACAAAATGGTGAAAGTATTTAAAAACTGCACCACAAAAAAAAAAAAAAAAAAAAAAAAAAAAAGGAGATAGACACTTAAGCTGCCAGGTGCAAGAAAATACAGCATGTGTTTCTGTCTTTGCAACACAAGCTGTCAACATATTTTCTTGATTTTTTAAAAAAGTTAATTAATAACTTAATTTAGATGTTTACTTTCTTTCTGAAGTTAGATACCAAAGATCAAGATTCCATGGTACACAGTTAAATCTCAAACCTACGTTAATCACGAGAAAGCTTGGCATAATTGTAAGATTATTTTACTCTACATCATTATTTGAATCATATTCAAATTAGAAAACACTTTAGCAAAGCCATTACTGTAGCTGTGTGGAAGTAAATCTGCTCTTAATTTTATTTTGTGTCTAACTGTACTTTATGTATCTAGTATAGAAGTGGTTTTCTGTACACTTAAAATGACTTTTCAGGAAGCGAACCTAAAAGTCAACATCATCTATAAACAAACCTTTATAGATTGATATATATAGATTAATTATATATTTAGCATAAATTTATATAAATTTAGATTTACAGTATTTCTCTTATAAGGAAATACACTTAAAATCTCATGAAAGATCCACTGAAATATAATTATGGAACATTTTAACCTGACTTTACCAATGTTTAAAAGGGAAATGTTCCTCTAAAAAGTAAAGTTCTTTCAGAATTCCCCTGGCTCCCCCCAGCAAATATCTTTTCAACACCATGGACTTTGAAATGCTAGAAAAACTGAAGGTCATTTCTTTCTCAAAAATGGATGTTTTATGCTTTTCCCTTTGTCATTCATTCTCTAGCATTGAAACAGGCTGAATGGGGGCTTGCTATCAGTGAGTTTAAATTGCCAAACAGGAGGCAAGTCTTATCGCGTGTTTTGAGTATCTACAA